TGATTAAATCTGTGTGGGTGGGTAGATTTATGTCCGAACCCTGACCCGATCTGAGACCCAGGGGCAAAGAGGCTTCCGAGCTGGGCAGCTCGGGCTCCAGGATGCTGCCCAATTTTTCCGACCCGCCGCACGATTCTAGGTTCGGGGTTTAGGTCGTGTCCTCCTGCGAACGGGTATCCGGCTTGGAGAGCCTAGGAATCCGGACATAGTTCGTCCTCAAAATAGAGGGAGAATCCATGCATTGCTCCTCCACGACCGCTATCTCGTGGGTGATCGGCGGAGAGTTAATCTCCCTTTGGTCGAGTTTAAGCCCAATCCGATCATAGTCCGTAGTGACACCCAGAGTGGCGATGCGATCTAAGAGCTCATTAAGGGAGGACAGCTCCATTGGATCCATCGGTTCGGCAAGTTCCGAATCGACGTGGAGGCTGTTTTTGATGACCTGAGAAGTCATCGTCGGCGCAAGAGCCGATCGGGCGGTCATGACGAAGCCACCTAGTCGGAGAATTTGGCCTAGAGACATGGCTCCCCCAGAGGTGATGTTGTCCTTGACAACGAGGCGAGCCATCAAGCCTTGCAGCGACGACATAGAGGAACTCTCAATGAAAGCACCAATGTCGGTGTCAAAACCGGCGGATCTCGGGTAGGGGTTCCCGAACTATGCGTCTAAGGCTAATGGTAACAGGAGGCTGGGGACACGATGTTTACCCAGGTTCAGGCCCTCTTGATAGAGGTAATACCCTACTTCCTGCTTGATTTATCTTGATGATATGAGTATTACAAGAGTTGATCTACCACGAGATCGTAGAGGCTAAACCCTAGAAGCTAGCCTACTCATCCTACGGACTAAACCCTCCGGTTTATATAGACACCGGAGAGGGCTATGGTTACACAGAGCCGGTTAAAGAAAAGGAGATCTAATATCCGAATTGCAAAGCTTGCCTTCCACACAAAGGAGAGTCCCATCCGGACACGGGACGAAGTCTTCAATCTCGTATCTTCATAGTCCAACAGTCCAGCCAAAGTATATAGTCTGGCTGTCCGGATACCCCCTAATCCAGGACTCCCTCAGTGCTCTCACGTAGGAACGGGGACCTTAGCCTCCACACGATGTTGTCCCATACAAAGTTGGAAGATTGGCAGCACCTTACTACTTCCTTCCATGTGCTCTCTCAGACAGTGAAATCGGTGACTTAGTTCTGGACGATTTCTGGTTAAGTTCGTTTATATTAAACTTATTCTTGGCTCGATTCTGAATAGGTTCAATGGTACTTGGAAGCCCTGCATCCCCCTCAAGATTAAAATCTTTATGCGGCGAGCTTATCGCAGTAAGCTTCCGGTTACCGACCAGATTCGCTCGTGCAATGGGCCCGGGTTTGAGTTATGTGATCTTTGTGGCAAAATAAAAAATACTAGTCATATCTTCTTTCGTTGCCCCCTTGCACCGCTTCTTTGGAGCTGCATGCTAGAGTGGCTTGGCGTCTCCTGGGCACCTGCCTCTTTTTAGGAACTGAGACCCCTAGCCTAGTCCTTGGTGGGACAAGCTAAGCGGTTGTTCTTGTTCGGCTTTTTGGCTGTGTGCTGGACCTTGTGTGGACTACTAGAAACAAGTTACCATTAATCATATGTTTTTAACAATGCGGTTGACTGCATCTTTGTGCGTTGTGATGTCGACAGTTGGCGATGACTCGGGACATGGATGCCGGGGCAGCGGCTCTTGATGGCTGTCCGTATCGTGGCTTTCCGCCGGCTCCATCGCGGCAGTGGTGGCCATGCCTCTTCGCCATTCGGGTGGCAAGGGGGTGTAGCAGTGGATGGTTTGGGCTCTCCTTTCTATGGCAGTGGTGGTGCCCAGCCCCGGATCTGGTGACCGATTCTCACTTCGACTGGTCTAGGTGCCTCTTGGTGGCACGGATGAGCTGCCGAGCGAAAGCTCTGTGCTTTGGCGGCGCTGCCGGTGGCATCTGCGGGTGTCGTTATCTTCTTGAAGACGTCATCGTGGTTCTCCTCTCCATGGCAAGTCTCCGGGCTCGGCAACGGTGTTGCTTTCGCTCCCCTCCCGACGGTGTTCCTGTGGAGGCTAGGTGTCCTAGATCGTGTCATGGTGTTGTAATCTGGTCGTCCCATGTTTAGTTGTTCGGCAACGTAGTCGTTGCGGTTATGTTGGCCACTTATTTTGGGATTTGCTGTGTCAGAGGGCCATCCCACCACACTACATCATTTAGCCGTGTGACTTGGTGTTGTTGCTTTATTTATAAAGCAGGGCGAGAGCCTGTTTCAAAAGATGATATGGAGCTGTTGATCATGCACGTAAGGGCTAAGACCACTAGTGCAGAATCGGGCTATAGTCCCGGTTCGTAAGGACCTTTAGTCCTGGTTCTGCAACCGGCACTAAATGGTGGGGACTAAAGGCCCCCCTTTAGTCCCGATTCAACACGACCCGGGACCAAATGCACACCATGTGACACGAGCCCGCGCCGGGGGCTAGGGGACCTTTAGTCCCGGTTGGTAACACCAACCGGGACTAAAGGATTTTTTTGGAAATTTTTTTTGAAAAAAATTTGAATTTTTTTTCCGATTTTCAAATTTCTAAAATATTTGACAATTTAATCTCTAATCACCTCTCAACACTGCTCTCACTACTCATTCCAAATCGTCTAACTTCTCGGCCAGTCACCCATGCTCTCACTACTCCAGGCTAAGCACGCTTAACTTCCGAGTTCTATTCTCCCAAGCTTCCAAGTCTGCACTTGTTGTTTTCCTGACAATAGTAAGTTGTCAATGCTATTGATCCTCAGGAGTTTAGCTTGAGCATGAAGTCACACGTTTCACCGTTTGAGTTTGAAACTATTATAAAAAAATTTAGTAACACTAATATTTTTTGAATAAGTAGTTTGACCATAGTTTGACCACAGTTTGACCAGATTTGACCAAAATTCAAAAAAACTAAGATAATTATTTAGTAACACTAATAATACTGAATAATTATTTAGTAACACTAATATTTCTTGAATAAGTAGTTTGACCAGATTTAACCAAAATTCAAAAAAAACTGAAATTTGATCATAACTTTTTTTCCTTTCAGAATTTGAGGATTCTAAAAATTTGCAAAACGGCCTATGGCCGTCGAAATCGGAACCGGATTTTCGTGCTGAACATTTTGATATATTATATATTTTTTGGACATCGTATGCAAAAGATAGGGTCGTTTTACTTTTTCATAACACTTTTTTGCAAAACTTGTCGAAATTTATGTTTTTAGATTTCCCTAACTAGTAGATGTAGTAACATAACTACATCTTGAAGGATTTTAATTTTTAAGTTTTTTTCATTTTCTTTTACTTTTTTCAAAACTGTAAATGTGATGGGGGGGGGGGGGTTTGAAAATCACCCCTTTAGTCCGGGTTGGAGCCACCAACCAGGACTAAAAGCTTAGACCCCTTTAGTCCCGGTTGGTGGCTCGAACCCGGACTAAAGATCTAACATATAGTCCCGGTTTGTATCATAAATCGGGACTAAAGGGGCTCGTGGGCCCCGGCCTAATGCCAGCCTGCCATCACTCCTTTAGTTCTGGTTTGTGACACAAACCGGGACTATAGGTCACCAATGAACCGGGACTAATGCATAACCGTCGAACCGGGACTAGTGGTATCATTAATTAGTACCAGACCGTAATTGAACTGGGACTAATGAGATGAACATAAGGTCATTTTTCTACTAGTGGGCAACCGCCTATCTTAATGACGAGTGGTCCCAGCGTCCCTACATGATGATGTACAACTTCCCTCTTGTAGTCGGATAGGGTCCCTTATTTGTCTTGTCCTGCATGCCTGAAACTGTCGTCTGCCTATGTTGGTTACTGCTACTTTCTTTTCTCGTTTGGCCTGTGTTGGCCCTTGTGTGTTGACTCTATATACATGTGGTACATTTGGTGGCTTTATTAATTTAAAATCGAACCTTGACATAGCGGTAATATAATCATTTTACTAGAAGAAAAGGAATTTGCAATACATAATCTTGGCAACAAGTACTATTTATCTATCAAGAGTGAAAAATGACAAACCGAATACCAACTTAACAGTGAAACACAAGTAGTCTCTCCCCGGGCTGTGAATTCCTACCTAGTGGATTATAATTGAGCTATAACGTTATACGTTCTTCTAGAAAGGTTCCCCAAACTGACAAGGACATACTGCTATGGATGCAAGGCATAGACATGCCTTTTTTTAAAAGGAGGATGTAGCCCTGATCTCTGCATCTGGACGATGCATGCAGTCATATTATTAATTATTCACAAAGACCATACAAGTTGATATATCAATAAGCCTGAAGGCACCATCTTGGCAATGCTGTTGCTACTCCTATCCCCTTGATGAAGGTGTGCCGAATGTCCGGGCCTAATATTAAATAGACATCGCACCAAAGCCTAACATCTAAAGGCGGGTGTCCCATTTGAGCCACTATCTAAATTGGGTCCCACACCGGTCTAGAACACTCCCAGTGAACACCGCAAGCTGCAAGGGCCGTCACCTCCATCTTCCAATGGTATTATGGAAAAGTTAATTGAGCTCAGGTTTATAATCAGATTACAAAAACCGCTAGCTCTAGTAATCCCCTGAACATCTGCTCAACAGTTGTACCCCTTTCTGGAGGTGAATATAGAGTTGGGTCAAAGCTTGGACGACAAATTTTAGAGCTTTAAAAATGGGAACACTAAGATATTGTCTAGAGCTGCAGTTCAAGCAAATTAAACAACAGAGCACATAGCTGATGCCGCAAGAAATTAGAGGTTCAAAACAAATATAATCCGATCCATTCACCCACTTATGTTATTAAGATTACTGACAAAGGCTACCAGCACTAAGAGAATACAAGCACCATTGCACCAAACCAGCTACTAGATACTTTATAATTCATCACAAGACCATCTCGCCTCCTAGTAGTCATCTTTTCTGTTTGATGACAATGGCCTCCTGCCCTTCATATTCAACCGTACAACGTCAATGAGCCGCATCACAAGAAATCATCCTTTCTGCAAACGTAGATTTGTCAGTGTAATTTCAGAAAGTAAAAGACACGATACTATATAGATTGCAAATTAGGTGAACATTTGAAAGTTTGCATGAGCACATATATTATAACAAATTGAACATCAAGTAAAATTTTCAGTCTCCTTAAACATTCTATATTTTGTTTGTTTGGCTAACTGATATATTATTACTTAAGACTTGTCCCCACATCATAAAAGAAAGGACATATAGATATACCTTGTGGACCGGGGAAACTCATGCACGGAAACAAACACCAAACATCTTTCTTTCCCCATAGCTTCTTCCAGTGTAGCGACTTTAGATTAAGCTCATAGATGCCAAGGTCTGTGGTCACGAAAATGATATCACTACCCTCCAGAGATCCAATCAGTTTAATTCTTCCACTAGGATTCTGAATGGGTAGAAGGTTCTTGAGATCAATGATTCTAGGCTGAGTCCATGATGCAACTCCATCGGAACCCATATGCCTTGACCACAGGTAGATGGTTAACCTTTTCACTTGTGCAAAACCCAAACTGTCGTCCTCCATAGCCATGAGAGTATTGGCACCAATAATGAGAGATCCCCTCATCGGCGGCGCATCAATCAGCGATAAGCAATTAGAGCCCAAGTCGTACTTCAGAAATCCTGTTATGTGATCATCTTCAAAACTCCCTTGCATGAAGTAAAGTGCGCCTTGGATGGCGACAGAGGGCGCTGGCTTGATGAATGCAGCATCGTCAAGATCAAGACCAAGGCATGGCTGGGGCTCGCTCCAGCCAAGTGTCTCGGACGAGAACACAGAGAGGTGTATAACACAATGAGCACCATGAACGCTCATGCCGAAGAAGAAAACCTGGAATGGGCCGTGGTGACAGGCGCAATGGTCACAGCCGGTCACGGCACAGAGCACCGCGGCCGCACTGGTTCTGCTTTGTCCTTTGAGTGCTTGCATCTTCGTCAGGCAGCCTGCCATGGGGTCCCAAACGACAAGCGGATTGTGTTTACGATCGCCGAGTAGAACGCGGCCATGGTGGCAGTCCAATGCAATATAGTCCGTGGTCAACGCGGCCATGGCCAAGTCGTCATCGGGAACGCGGGCGGCGAATTCCGTGGTGGAGACAAAGCGTGGGATGGGTTTGTCCACCTTCGTCTGGGTGTACGAGGACAAGGCATAAACGAAGCCCAGCATGGGGGGAGCACCATGAAACTCACGGTAGCGGCTGTGGAATCGAGCGCTGGATAGGAGGCCGAGCCAGAACTTGCTGGCAAGGTAGGCGCGCACCAGGCACGCGGGCTCGCCCGGCGGGAGGCGGAGGAAGATCTCCTCGAGAAGATCATCGGGCAGCATCATGGTCGGTGGTGGAGACGAGGGTTTTGGTTTTGGCCCCTCCCTTGTGATTGATACGTACGTAGCGAGCTGCACCTGCTGATTGATTCAACTATAGCTCGTATATCGAGCCTGTTTTTTTATTTGTATTATTATTACTTCACAAACCCACGATGGTACACGCATATATATATAGTACTACTCGGGTTTTGCTAATCCTAGTCCTACACGGTACATGCATGAACAAGAAACCTATATGTACACGTACAGGAGGTTATGTCGTGTTTAAGTCCAACAAGAATTTCCCAGGCAATAGTCAAGAATTCTTAACGATGAAATCCGAAAACAGCATCACAAACCAAGCACAACCACATGGTCAATCAACCGTGCTCAGCCAGCATATAACAAAACAAATCTCCAACAATATGGACTAGTAAGATCCATATGTATGAAAAAATTACCCACACGTTAAGAAAATATGAAAGATGGACAGGCAAGTCATGTAAATCCAAGCTAGTTGCATGACATGCAAAAAATCAGCCACCTCGAAACGCAATTTGTTTCGACCATGAAGGATGACCAAGGTGAATTAGCTATCAGGCACCAAGCAGAGCAATACCTCTTCCACAAATGGAAACGCTGCTTACTAAAATGCTTTAATAATTTACTACAGTACCAGCAGCACTTGACATGAAGTAGTATTTCCATTCACGAGGTTAATTTCAGATTTGTATGTCAGCTAGCATTCAGAAGCCATATCGTCATCTCGTGGGCGGAAGAAAACAGCAAGTCTGGATATGCCCTCATCACCATTTGCACCATCTCTCAGAGGAGTATTCAGCCATTGGACCAAAGTGAGGGAAAATTGTACAGTTCCTGGCTAAAATGCGTGTTCATGATTTGAGCAAAAGATCTTATCTAAGGAAAATCTGTGAATGTAAAAGCAGTTGCAATTATCACTCTGACCAAATATATGAACATCTTCGTCTCACTACATGGTCATTGCAGTCTTCTAGTATATGCATTCTAGGCCAAAAATATGCAACAAATAAGGAACTACTCAAAATCTTCATGCAGTTTTGTGGAGCTACTGAAGCAAAATAAAAGTTTACAAGATCTTCAACCAGCAATACAACACCATATCTTTAGTCCCCTGAACATATAGTTCAAGATTCAGGTTACATTTATACTCGTCAGTAACATTGCTCTGCAAAAAAAAAACCACTGCTAAATTCACTAAATTAATTAAGGCATATCAGTGAGACAACATGAAGAAATCATCACCATCTATATTTCTCTAGGGCGAGACAAACGACTAGCTCTAGACATGTCATCAATATCAACTCATTAAAGTTCAAAGGTACCTCTTTTGAGAGATCAATTTAGAGAGTTTCAAAATGGTAAAACAAAGTTACTATCCGCAGATGCATTTTCAACCAAAATAAAAAATGGAACACATGGTTCCTACTGCAGCTGCAAGAATTGGTGGTTCATTACAAGATTATCCATTCAGCCACTTAAGCACGCCAACAACATGGAGAAAGTATCAAGCCTACTGATAAAAGCCAAGAACAATATGAGAAATCAAGCAAGCACCATTGCACCAAAAGTCCTACTCCATCCGTTCCATAATTCTTGTTGTGGTTTTAGTTCAAACGGTGGGAGTACTGAAAAGTGACATAATTCATGACAAGACCCATGTCGCCTCAAAGCTTGTCATTTTCTTGTCGATGAGAGTGGCCTCCTGCCATTAAGCATATTTAACCATACCTTGTCAATGTGCCGTATCACTGAGCATCACCCTTTCTACAAACATATATTTGTCGGTGTTATTCCAAAACAGGTATGACATGATAGTAAATAAATCAGGGCCTGCTAAAGAGGATGGCAACGGCTCCTGTACGGACCACCCCAGTGGGTGGCTCTGGCGACGGGGGCGGCGATCTCGCTCTCGGGCCTACTTCCGGCGCTGGCGTTCGGATCTCTGCGAGCGGGGCGGCGGCGGCGGCCCCGGCGGCGTCCAGGCGGCCGGCCGGCCCCGCCGTGGGTGCGGCTGGCTGGTCGGGGAGCCGTTTTGGGGCGTTGGCCGAGGCTGATTCCGATGGGGAGTCGGTTGGTGAAGTAGCGGAGGAGCTTGTGGGCGCGGCGGCGGAGTCAACGGCGGGCGGCCATACGGCATGCTCCATCGGCGACATTGTCGCGCGTGCGGAGGAGCTGGGGGGCTCCTTCAAGGCCGGGCGTCGGCGTGCTTTCGCGCCCAGTGGCCGTGGCGCACGACGTCCTGCGTTCGCCGTGGGCAGGGGGCCGCGTGCGTCACCGGGTCGTGTGGGGCGGGGCAGCATGGGTTTCGCAGATGCGGGCCTATGTCTGTAGCCTTCCCCGGACCAGCCCCGCTCGGAGCGGGCGGCGCCAGCGGCGGCAGCGGCTCCGTCGGATCTGGGCGCTGGTCGGCCTAGGGTTGGGGGCGACAAGCCGGGGGCGGTGATGGGTCGGGCCCCTGGGACGCTAGTTGGCCCATCTGACGGGCTGGCTTTCGTGGCGGCCCAGTCTGGCGCTACCTCCGTGGGGCAGGAGGCCCAACACGCGGCTTAGCCCGGTCCACAGGCGGCAACCCAGGCCATGCCTGTCCGAGGCGAGCAGCCGTATAAATGGCTGTGGCTTCCCCGTGGAACCCTAGATCCCCTTCTAGGTTTCCCTGCCACCGATTCGGAGGTGCGGCGTTTCGGCAACTCCGCTCGCTTCCTCCTCCCCACCCCATCCCCCCCGCCTCTGCTTAGCTCCTTTGCGGAGGTAGTGACGATGGGATCCAAGTCCGACCGTCGGGTGGGGGCCGCCGCCTGCTTGGTGGCTCAAGGAGTAGGAGCGCATGAAGAAGAAAAAGGAAGAGTATAGGAAGAAGGGCCTCGAGCTCAAGCGCAAGGGGCAGTTGACCTCCCAGGGCGGCGACCGCGCAATCGATCTGCAAGCGAAGAAGCCGAAGCTCAAGCCTGCGGGGGCGGCGGCTTCCAAGCCTCCCCTCCCGCCCAGATCCGCGTTGCCTGGGGGCGGAGGCTCCTCCAAGGGCTCTGTGGAGGCGCTGATTCCCGTTGAAGATGCAGACGGCCCTGAGTGCTTCAAGTGCGGCCGATCTAGTCATTACCAGAACACATGCTCCTTCCAGCCGCTGTGTGTGGTGTGCAGCAAGGAGGGGCACACCTCGGCGCAGTGCCCAACCTGCCGCAAGCCTCTGCTCTTGCAAACCATGGGGCACGCCATCGCCGGCGAGGGTTTCTTCTGTCTCCAGTTCCCGGAAGATGCGAGGGAGGAGACTCCGATCATGCTGGGGGCCAACACAGCAGTGCTCTCCACGCGTTCGCGTGCACTCTCGAGGGAGATCTTGGAGATGAAGCTGCAGCACCTGTTCGAGGGCGCTTGGGACTGGCAGATCACTCCCATGGAAGGTGGCGTGTTCTCGGTGGTGTTTCCTGACCCTGTGATGCTGCGGATGGCAACTAGGAGCGGCAAGCTCTTTCTGTCCCTCAATAATCTCATGGTGGATAACCGTATGCGATCCTCGATGCGCCCAAAGGACTGGAGATGCCGGAGGTGTGGGTCAAGCTGGGTGGTGTCCCTTCGAAGCAGCGACGCTCCGACAGGCTCATGGCGGCCACCACCATTCTTGGCCGTCCCTTGCAGGTCGATGAGGAGTCCCTTCTTCGCCCCGGGCAGGTGCGCATGCGTTTCGCCTGCCGCAATCCTCACAAGCTTCGGGGGATGGTCCAGATCTGGTTCAACAATGAAGGCTTCGACATCTCCGTCGAGCCCGAGCTTCCCCCGGCGCAACAAGCGGCTCCCGCCCTCCCTTCCCCTCCCCCTCCTCCTCACGGCAAGGGCCCGGACGGGAAGGGACGCGACGGCGGCCACGACAACGACAAGGAGCTCGACGCAAGCATGGAGGATGACTCCATTGATACGGCGGCGTGGGAGAAGCTGGGTATCACGGAGCAAGGCGGTGAGGTGGCTCGTGCGCAGATGCCCAGGGTGGAGCATTCCCTGGCTGGCGGGTCGTCGGAGATGGATCTCTCCATCCCGAACCAATACGGCTCCAACCTGGGGTCGGTCACGTCTCCTCCGGTGCGGATGGAGGTGGTCGTGGGCACCCCGACGCTGGCGGAGCCGCTGGGTGAGGTGCGCACTCCCATCGCGGTGTCGGCGGAGTCTCTGCTCCCCACCTCGATCTCTCCGGTGCAAGGCGGACGCAGCAGCAGCAAGCTTGGGGCGGTGAAGACGCTCAAGAAGGTGGCGGTGCGCAAGGTGAGCGCGGAGGCGGCGAGCGCTGCGGAGAACCTGGGGGCTCCTGCGATGCCACGGCAGGCGGTGATGGCCCTGGCCGTGCCTGCCATCGCTCTGATCGTGCAAGAGATGTCCCAGTCGATGCCCATCCCGAAGGCCAAGCGCTCCAAGGCCGTGGTGGAGGGGCAGGTGCCTCCCGTGCGGGTCAGCGCGCGCGCCAAGGGAGCCAAGGACAACCTGCCTTCGCTCCAGCGCGCTCAACTGCTGCAAGCCCAGAAGAACCTGGAAACTTCAGGTAATCCCCTGCCGCGTTTTACGATTCTAGATTCCTTTTCGGACGAGCATTTGGGCGAGGTGCTGGGAGAGAGTGGGGTGGAACCAATGGGCGACGGTGGCATGGACGAGCTCATCTCGCTGATTCATGCTAACGAGGTGGCGTAGGCAGCGCTCGCAGCGGCGGCTGCTCAACACGCGGAACGCTTGGCACTGGAGGCAGAGCCCTCGCAGGTGCCAGGAATCCTGCCCGATGGGGACACAGCAACAGGGGTTGCTGCTCCCCCCTCGCCTCGCTGCGGCAAGGTGAGGCGCGTGGCTAAGGCGATCACCTCTAGGGGGGTGCGCCTTCGGAACCGTGTAATTTAATGCACGTGCTTATTTGGAATATTTGTGGCTTCAGCCACTCGGGGCGGCGCACCCAACTGAAGGAGTACATCCGTAAAGAGGCGATCGACATCGTTGGGCTACAGGAAACG